GCTCGGTTTTATCCTCAAACCTTAAATACATAAATAATTAATAAAATATAGAGGCCTGAGAAATAGTATAGGCACTAAGGTGCCTGCTATGCATGTAGCCAACCCTAATTCAGTTCCTGCAGCACATATGATGCTCTGAGCATGGATAGCAATGATCCTTGAGAGTAGAGAAAGGAATAAGTTTTGAGACTCATCCCCAAAAGAATTAATAGCATCTAAACTCTGACATGTTTTCAAATTTAATATGTGATTAAAGAACCCAGTTTTCTCATTTTATATTAAAAATGAAGCTTTTGGGGATACATAACACATTTACATAGATACAAGTCTCTTTATGTGACAAACTGATTCCTGTCAGTTGTCTGTTTTTTTTTCCTTTTACATATCACAAGTTTCCTAGTGAGAAGAATAAACTTTGAGTCAGTTTGTAATGTCAACTTCTTGGGAATAATAATGTACTTCTCATTTACTCACCAAATCATTACTGAAATTTGTTTCCTGTTCTTCAAATTTCCAAAAAACCTCCAATATCTCTTGGCCCTACCAATCTCTCTGAATATGAGTCTTATTTTTTCCCCATAAATACATCTACGCGTGGAGTAATTCTTTATTAACCAAAAGTGAACATCAGAATACTCTGGAGAGGCTATTTTTTAATTACACAGGCCTGAATCCCATACAAATATACTGAATTAATATAGAAAACTGTGTCTGGCATATCGAATACTCTCGGTAGCTTGCCGGGCTCTCCGAGAGGGGTGGAGGAATCGAACTCGGGTCGGCCATGTTGGCTGCTTGTAAGGCGAACGCCCTACCCGCTGTGCTATCGCTCCAGCCCTGGGGCGATAGCAGGGGCTGGAGTGATAGCACAGCGGGTAGGGCGTTTGCCTTACACGCGGCCAACATGGCTGACCCGAGTTCGATTCCTCCGCCCCTCTCGGAGAGCCCGGCAAGCTACCGAGAGTATTCGATATGCCAGACACAGTAACAACAAAGTCTCCAATGGAGACGTTACTGGGCCCGCTCGAGCAAATCGACGATCAACGGGAGGGCCTTTACCTTTACTTTTAATATAGAAAACTGGACTGTACGTTTCTCATATGATTTTAACCAAGTCATCTTAAGAGCAAAATAAAGCTCTCATAGTGCTGATAGGTATTTGAGAAATGATTAGTGAAATAAAATCTTCCAAAATGCCCAAAAGTCTAACAAATTTTGAAACCCAATTCCAGGCTTCCAGCTTGGAAAAATTCCTTATTTTTTTTTCTGTCCATGCCTATCTCTTTCTTTCATATAGGTATTTCTGTTCAATTGGATATGCCCTCTCCTTTTCATCAAACTACTTCCTCAAGAGAGAAACTCTGAGCTATTTAAATGTAAAGGTTATATTTCTTTGCATCATGGCTTTCCACCATCAAAGACCTCTTTTATTTATTTTTTTCTAGCCATTCTTATATTTCTTTCCAGTACTTCTCATCACCAAAATTTATTGTATGTATTGTTTCCCTGGTTATTGACTGTTTTCCCTTAATAGAACACAAGATTCTTAAAAGCAAAAATATTATGGGTTATTCAAATATAAATCCCTAATAGATGGAAGAGTAGTTTTCAAAATATACTGTTGAATAAGAAAACTCTCTGGAATTACTTATTTTGCACGTATCAATTAATTGTATACTAATTTAGCTTGTATAACATCATCCACTGCCTTCACTTTCATACACTAGCCCTTGCTCTATAAAAGCCATTCTGTCAGGTTAAAAAGAGCAAGTAATTAAGTATAAATTTCAAACTACAATAAAAGTTATGGAGTTAATATGTTTGTTAATAACATACATTGGAGGCCTTTAAAATAGTAGTTTTGGGGTTCATTTTGACTCACAAAAGTGACCATTATCTTATAATTACTCAGACTCTGGAGCCATATTAAAAAATATGTGCACTGGGATGATTTGTGCAGTATGTAGGCTGCTTGTTTTGCACACAGCCAACTCAGATTCCATCCCCTGCACCCAATAAGGTCCCCTGAGCACTGCCAGGAGTGATCCTTGACAGCAGAATCAGGAGTAATCCCTGAACACCATCATATGTAACCCCAAAACAGAAACCAATACTATAAGAAGAGCAACACTAAGACCTACACACGCTAGTATCCAATCATACTTTAGTTTCTGTAGCATATCTTTTTGCACAGAGTGAATTTGAATTTATTTTTACTGTACACATAAAGTAATATCATGGTCCAGTTATGAGGTACCAAAGAAAGTGGTTGATCAGGGGAATTTGCTCTTAGGGCCGCTCTTAATGTCATAGAGGTAAAGGAACCATCAATTTACCAAGGTAACAAGATTGCAGGGGACCTTAAAGCTTTCTTTTCAGTTTTCATGTGTTTACCCTTTTAGTCTCAGTTGAGAAGTTGGAATATAAAGAATCTAATGCTTAAGTGAGGTTTATTTCTTCTGCATGTACACTATTCCAGAATGCCATGAATCATTATGGGATGCTTCATTGTGATGCAGTTGTGAGGAGACCCTTGTTACTTTATGATGCACCATAAAATGTTCAAAATGGTTATGCCAATATCATGTAGGTAAAAAAAGTTTCCTATGATAATACTGAAGGGGTTTGTTTCACTTTCTCTGTGACTGGTTTCATTATAAAAGTTACTTAATTCTTCAATGTGATTAATATAGCCTAATGGTCTTAATGTTAAGATTAAGAATAACGGTTATCATTTATTGCACATGCATGTGATGTCAGAATCTGTGCTACCTGCTTAAATACCTGTGGCATTTGAACTGATTAACAAGCATATCTCTTTATTCCTACTTTTAAAATAGAGAATATGTCTTTCAAACTTCAATAAACCAGTATGTGGTGAAATTTGTTTATATGCAGCTGTAGCTATTCTATGATGGTTTGAAAAGAAAAATAGACCCAGACACTAAACAATTTTCTATGTAAAAGTCCCACTTTCCCCTCAGGAAGAAAGTGAAACATTCTTGACAATAGGTGTTCGGGATCTTGCAATCATCTCAATAAGAAAGTATGAAAACTGGAAGAACGGGACTAAGACAAAACAAAGGAGGATGCTACTTATAAAAATGGTTCTTTCAAAAATGAAAGAAACAAACATTGCATATGAAAGCAGAAAGGTGTGACATTCTAGGTTGACAGCCTGAATTCAAACCAAATGTCCATTTTTGGAAATCTACAGGCAAGACTGAGTCTTAGAATCACAGTTGCCTCATCCGTCAAACAGTGCAGGCCAGAGATGAAGCCCTAATGGGAAGTGAGTAACCATCATTCTACTGCCATAGCTCCTTTAAGCATCATCAACTTCTCAGCTCCTCTTTCTTCTTAAACTTTCTGCTTGGGAAGCTCCATAAGTGGTTTAGCCATTTTTTTCTTTAAAATTTTCATAAAATATATGGACAAAAAGTCTCATCCTTGTTTTCCATGGTCTCCTGAACCTTTTTCATCATTTATTATAACAACTACTTTTCTATGTTTTGGGCCCACATCACTCACAACTTCTAGAAGGCAGGAATTTAATCTTATTACCTATTTCTCTACCCCCTAAATATATATTATTTAGAGTATATTTATTATATTATGTATGATTTAATGTATTGTACACTACATTTATTTAAATATTTATTGTTTATATTTTAGATATATTTGTATACATTTGTGCTCTCAATAAATGTTGAGTTGGAGAAAAATGTCTGCTACACGACAGTTTATTTCATCTCCCCAAATCTACTTCATTATTTAGTCTACTCACTATCAAATGTCACTAAGATGTTTCCCAGAATTCCAACAGATGCATGAAATCCACCTTCCTAAAAAGGCAGTTTTACAGGGACAGGCAAGGAAACAGAGAATAGTGCTTTGCTTCTCATGCTCAAGTCAAGAAAAAGTTCGGTCATAAATTGCCTCTACATGTAAGTTAGTCAAATGAAGCAGCTTCTCCCTCCTTTTCATTTCTTCTACTTGCCGTGATGAAATTCCCGTGTAGGTCCAAAACTTGGAGGCAAATTCATCCTTTTATCTTGATATTTAGGAGGTACAGCTTTGGGCACCACCTTCATTCACATGCCCCTGTGCTACTAGTAGCGATTATTCCCTTAGGAGAAGGATTATTCTGAATTTCTTAATCAGAGTGGAGAGGGAATTCACCTGGCTTCACCCATGGACCTGCTGTGGTAAGTTCTCTTTTGTCCTTGTAAAATAAGGGGAGTGAACCTTTCCCAGGAAGGGTCACTGAGTCAGTGTAGGTAAAGTTCGACCCCAACTCCCCCTAAAAAAGGCTAATTGGGGGTTACACAATGAATCGGAGAGGGAGGCGATCGGAAATGCTGCAGCGGGTGGCAAAGAACCCTGGGTTGAGTCTACCGGCCCATGCTGGCTGCCGGTGTCTAGTCATTTCACGAATTTCACTGACGCTCCGCAGGGATGTCAGACCATCACTGTTAAGTCACTCTTGCTCTCCAGAACGTCGTTGACATCTTCATAGGAGCCTTGCTCCCGCTCCCGTGTGTCTCTAACAGAAAAATCCATCAGAGCCCGCCCCAAGTTTTTTTTTTTTTCCTCCCCAGACTCTGGGACTTTTGACTGCCCGGTGCGAACCCTCCAAGAGTCCGGATGGAGGAGTTTCGGCGGCTGCAGTTCCCCGGCCGCGAGGGATGGACTCTCCACTTCCTCCCCGCGGGCCGCGGCGGGGGTGGGGCATCGTCCATCGGTCCGTCCTCGCGCCGTGCGGTTTTGGGGTAGTCACTCCGGGGCGCCCCACCCACGCCCTAGCATGACGTCACGGGCCGGGGCTATAAAGGTGGCAGGTGCGGGCCGCGCCTCCGGAATGTTCCCACACCTGGTGCCCGCGCCCGCGCCCGCAGCCCGACCGCGGCCGCACCGGAGACGCGCAGCCCCGCACTCGGGCCCCGGCCCCCTCGGCGCCCCGCTGCTCCACCGCTGCGCCGACGCCTCCCGAGGGACCAATGCGAGCCCCGCTGCTGCCGCTGGCGCCAGTGGTGCTGTCGCTGCTAATCCTCGGTCCAGGTGAGCCCGCGCCGCGCCCCCCGCATCCGACGCTCCGGGACGCGGGGACCGCCCGGACCCGCTCCCGAAGGTCCCTCCCCGGCAGGAGCAGAAACCAGGTGGACTCGGGAGCTCCCAGGCAGCCAGAGGGCGCCCGGGGAGTGTCGGTGCCTTGACTTAGATCCGAACCCAGGGGTCCCCCTCCGGGAGATCCCCCAGCCCGGCCCTTTAGTTCACAGTCACCCCGACGGCCGACGGTCCGCACGTCGCAAGAGTGTAGCAGTTCCCTCCCCACAGGACCCGGGAGCCTCCTGTCTGAGTGCTCCATCTCCTGGGCGGGGTCATTTGATCTTGGTCTTCTTTCGAGGATCTCACGACGAGGGTGGGGGTAGGGGGGAATGAGAGCCACCCCTCAATGCTATCTTACTGAGCTCTAAAAAAGATTAAGCCCGGGCTTGAAATTCTGCCCCTCACCCTAATTCTACCCAGCACCCAAGTTCTCCTTTAGCTACGAATAATCATAATTCAGCAAGGCAATAAGAATGTCGAGGTGAAAAGGGGAGCCATGCTTATCAAGTAAAAAGAGGCATTGCTTTTGACAGATTTTAGACATATATATATATATATATATATATATATATGTATGTATGTATTTTGGATGTCAGCACAGCTTTAGACAACCCGGTGTCGGTATACTCAGAAGTTGTCTATTGAAAGGGGACAGGCAACTTTCTAGCAAATGCATTTGCATTTGGGATGTGAAGTAAGGGCGATCTTTAGATTTTGACACCACCCGCCTCCTACCCCTCCCCCCCTTCCCCTTCCTCCTTGTGATGCTGTCATGTGAGATTAAGTTGTCTGAGTTGTCTGGCCGTATTTTCGGGAGCTAACATCGACTCTAGGGAAAAGATAACCTTGATGAAAGCAGCTCGGTAATTGGAACAGCTGAGTTTGCTTGTTGGCAAAATGTGAAGCTGCTTTCATAAGTGACTCAATCACAAACAATAGTGCATGTGCAATAAGTACTTTGATATCAGAAGATAAACATTTCTCCCGGATGCCGCTGAGTGGTGAGAAAGACAACCTGCCTTACCTCCCCTCTTCTCCCCTTGATCTCCCTTCCTTAGCCCCTCACGCTGCTGGACTGGAGGTCAATGACACCTCTTCTGAGAAAGGAGAACCATTTTCTGGGGACCACGGTGCTGATGGATTTGAGGTGGGCTCCACCGGTCAGATGGCCCCAGGAAGCACGATTTCCCCTGTGAGCGAAATGTCATCTAGTAGCGAACTGTCCTCAGGGAGCGACTATGACTACTCGGAAGAGTATGATAACGAGCCGCGACTCTCTGGCTATGTTGTGGATGATTCAGTCAGAGGTGAGTAGAGGATAAGGTGCACAGTAGCCTGTAAGGGGTGTGTGTGTGTGTGTGTGTGTGTGTGTGTGTGTGTGTGTGTGTGTGTGTCTGAGCGAAGCTGCTTCAAAAGCACGGCCTCTCCCTGGATCTCTTGAGCTGCTGCATACCTGCGCGGTGAGCTGCCTTCCAGGATGTGGGTCCCTCCTCCTCTGCAATGCTAACAAATCTTCTAAGCCCTTTCAGTCTCATCTCTGCTGCTCCGTGACAAAGGAATTCCCCTCAGGTTTACCCATGTGAAATTGGAAACTCAGAAGGTTATGTCCTCTGTCCCTATTGCACAGTCAGCAAACAGGTGGACTCCAGGCAAAGCTCCAGTTTGACTCCAGATGGTGCTCCTAACCCCATTCTGGGAAAAGGATGTTGGCTTCAGGCAGACCATCCATCCACATGGCATCTGAGCTTCTGTATTGATTCCCCAGCACTGCTTTTCATTAAATAACTGCATTGTATCACAAATAAGGGATGAATGAATAAGGGAGGAATGAATGGGAAATGGGCTATTTCTAAAACTTAAGTTTTGAAAATACTAAGTTTCGCGGGGACGCCAGGATGTATCTCAGGGGTAGAGGTTTTGTGATCCTCAGGTCAGCAATGAATAAATAAATAATGAAATACTAAGTGTTGAAAAATTGGATATAATAGAAGTAGTAATGATGATGATGATGATAACAATAATAGGCCTTTATGGAAAAAATAAGGACAAATATGCAGGGATTTTTATAAGGATACAGTAAATCCAAATACCATTTGTTGGTTAAGTAATCATGACCAACAGTTTTTTTTTTTTCTCTTTTCTTTTAAAGGAAAATTTGCTTCAAATGAGAGTATGAAAGTACTGTTCCCTACCCTCATTTCCTTTCCTGTTTGAGGGCAGAAAACAGTTCAGCAGTAAAGCAGTTCCTCAAGAGCTTAGTGGCATCACCTGTAGGAGTCTGCAGTTGGTCATCTTGTCTTCTGATCTTTGCTTTCCTACTCCCTCCTCCTGGGATTCCAGGTCTGGCCCAGAACCACTGGGGGGCAGAAGGCTCTATAGTGACAGTGATTTGATTAAGTGGCAGACATAGAGAAAGTTCAAGGGAACTTTCCACTTTTCTCCCTCATTTCTGATTTTGTGCTTTCATGCAAGATGAGGAAGGAATCCATTTATGATCCTAATTTGTAGAGAGATGAGAGTAGACTGTCACGGTGATTAGACACTACAAATTGTTAAGATTTTAAAAGACAAATGAATTGTTAGTGGTAAAAATGGTTAGTGCTCAGTGCATTATGAAATAGAGTGGAAACACGGTTGACAGAGTGGACTTTTGAAAAGCTGTTCTACCATTGGAATTAATGTCTTGGGACTGCGACATGATGACTATTATTGTCCTGATGAGTATTTTTATCTAATGAAGAGACATAATATTTGTTTAAAATAGTTTGATCAGAGGACTTTATGTTTGCTTATGGTGTTTTCTTATGGTATTTGTTTTCCCACTTTATCACAATATTTTCTATTTGGTACTCTACTATGTTTTCTAAGGCTTGCTATTTCATGGATGCCACAGGACCACTGTGACTAATACTTTTACAATATTATGGTTTTTCCCCTTTCACTGCACTTGGCTAAATTACTACTCGCGTAAACCTCAAAGCTTTCCCTTCTGTGTGACTAAATTATACCGTGCATGTGTGTGTGTGTATGTGTGTGTGTGTGTGTATACATAGATATATTTGAACAAAAATTGGGCCAGAGAGGTAAGGTAGTGCAGGTGAGGTGCTTGCCTTCAAGCTGACCCTGCTTCCATCCCTGGCACTGCAAATGGCCCCCTGAGCATTGCTAGGAGTGACTCTAAGCAGTGGTGGGTGTGGAACTCCCATGCAAATACATTGAGGAAATGTTTCTGGGGATCTGAAGTTAATGAATCTCTGAAACATCAAATACAGATATGTCTGGATTCCTATAATTTTAATAGATCACCGCAACATGATATCCCGAGAAGACATCAATGACTTATAATTTATTGATTAGAAGTTGAAAACAGTTATTAATGATAATCTATAATTTTATCTACTCTCAAGTGTTATCTGCTAATCTACATGCTGTGATAGTAATTACGGATCAATATGAGTAAATACAATCAACAAATATATCCAAGTTCCACTTTAATCAATGGTATTGATTTTTTTTGTGAGGAAACTTTAAAATGGGAAAACAAATAACAGAATTTAACATCCCGACACTACTAGTTGTGTGTCTTAGGGCAAAGCATTTGCCTTCAGTTGGCTTTATTGCATTCTTATATACCATGTGGAGAGCAATGCATCCAACTTTGCCTTTTTGTTTAATTAATGCTCATTAATAAGAACATAATACAATAAATTCAAGAAGTGTCTGTATATTATATATTTAATATAATGTTTATTTTCAATAATTTAGCAGTTATTTAGCAATTAGTATGCTGATGTAAAACATACTTTAAGCTAATAAGTAAAAAAAGGGTTCGTTCATTTTGAAGTGTCACATAATACAGATATTTCCATTGTTGTGAAAGAGAAAATTATCCCCATGAGTTGTTAGATCTTTTTTGCGGTGGGAATGGTCTTCCCAGATGGTGCGGTGGGAGTCCAAGGGCCACTCACTCTCCATTGAGCCTGTTAATGCTAAGACCTCCAGACCACTACGGTGAGTGCTAGGGTCCACCGGTGATGCTCTGGGGGTCTGTGGTGCTAGCGATTGAGCTGGGTTGGGTATATTCAAGGATGCACCTGAATCCCTATACTATTTTCCAGGTCCTATTAGGAATTCCTTCATGTCACAAAATGCTATTTAGGTTGGAGAGATTATTGTCATTTTTTTTAACCAGTCGAACAGGTAATTAAGCCAAAGAAAAACAAAACAGAAGGTGAAAAGACTACAGATAAACCCAAAAGAAAGAAAAAAGGAGGCAAAAATGGAAAAAATAGAAAAAATAAAAAGAAGAAAAATCCATGTGATGCCGAATTCCAAAATTTCTGCATTCATGGAGAATGCAAATATATACAGCATCTGGATGCAGTATCATGCAAGTAAGTTCTTAAGTTACGTAGAATTTTATTTTTCTGACACCATGTCTAAAATTCCTAGGTGCAGAAAACCATTTGTCTTTCCAAGGTATAGATCAAGAATTGACGGTTTTCTTTAAGAACCATGTAGTGTTTTAGGTCCTATAGTGATTATTTTAGGGTTAAGATTATGTATGTGTTATAAAAGCAGTTCAAATATAACTGTTTACAAACTTGAAATAATTAATGACTTGTACATTGTGAAAACAAACAAACCAATGTGGCAAATTTCCAGATTGCCCCGCAAGTCTTTGTTAGCTAGGTATAATTTCTAATTTTAAAATATATGTTTTATAAAATCTTTTTTAAGCAAATTAGTTAACTTCTACCTGTGTTCTAATTTCTTTCTTTCCTCAAAAGTCACTAACATATCAAAAGATAGTAAACTGTATTTACTGCATGACATATCACTCATCAGATGCTCATAAAGATTGATGCAGAATTAAAAGACATAGGCTTTTTATTTTTTCAAAATAGCCTCTTAATGTCTTGAAATGATATATCTTTGATTTAAATACAATATAGATTTGTAGATTTGAAGTAAATAACTATATGACATGGTGACATTCATTTATTTTGCAGTGGCTTAGAATCAAACCCAAAATTTCACAAAAGCAAGGCATACCCTTACCACTAAGCCATCCTGTCACCCACTGATTATCTTTTTAAATTTTAGAGGAGGGGAGGAATGGCTATGTATTAACTAGAAAATAAGTCTAAAATATATGGAATCTTTTAAGTGTTGATAATTTTAAAATTTGTTTTTTTAAATAGATGTCAACAGGATTACTTTGGTGAACGATGTGGGGAAAAATCCATGAAAACGCAAAAAACGGTTGACAACGATTTCTCAAAAATTGCGTTAGCAGCCACAGCCGCCTTCATTTCAGCTGTGAGCTTCACAGGGGTTGCTGTCGCTGTTACAGTGTTGTAAGTAATGTATAACTTTAAAATTTCCTATGATATGAAGCCAGTTCAATATTTTTCAACATTTCTAATGCAATGTAAATGCCATGTTTTTGATAAATTGTTTTATCAGGACATATAATGTTTGGCTTATATCTTTATATTTTACTGACAAAGATCAGAGAATATGTACTGACAGAGATCACAGAGTATAGTAAAAATTTTTACTGTTTTGGAAGCAATATATAATTTTTTTCCTGAAATGTGTGAAATTTTTTGACTTAAAATTTGATGGTTTTGTTTCATGTTGTATTTCTACTTTTGGCAACTTTTAATTTTTAATCTTGGTATTGCCTATGAATATCTTATGCTTAGATAAGCTTCCCAGAAGTTAAGACCTAGTTTATTGTAGGTTGCCAGAGATACTGCTTTGGTACTAAATATCAGACAATGCTTTAATTAAGTAAGAGTCTATCTTCTGCTTCTATTTGAGAAACCAAAAAAAAAAAAATCCCGAGTGATGAATTTTGTAGCATGAAGGTATTTAAAGCTTATTCCTATTTTAATTTTTGTTGAAAGCAGTATGGGAACTCCATTATTAAAAACAAATTCTGTGTAGGGAACAAGACAATTCTATTACCGTGTGACTCCCTGAGAGTCTTGTCTGTGTTCACAGTAACACATCTCAGAGTGTTCACATACTTCATGACCAATGAATGTAGACTGTTCCAGGTAGTAGGCACTAGTGGGTATGTCAAAATGGCATTGTCTGTCAAACAGAAGTCAGTGAATTAAGGAAGTTGGGGGAGGACATGAATGGTTCTTTAATGACTCATGCGCTACTAGAGCTTGGGAAAAGCAATAGGCTCATTATTCTAATTTTAGGTCTTGGTAAATGACTTTAACAACTGGATTGTGTATATGATCTACCACTTCTGCCATTCAGGAAACAAGGGGTTATCTTCTGCCATTGTTTACTATTATTTTAAACAGATCAGATAATGATAAAATGACACATAAAAACTTTTATGATGCACATAAAGTTTGATGTGTGGTTTAAATTTGTTTTGCACATTCTAGAAATTATTTTGGTCTGTTAGTACTTCATGTTAGATGGAGGGAATATGTTTGGAAAAAATTGCTCAGACAAACCATTATTGTGTGACAAAAAGAACAGAAGAAAATGTTACTAGTTAAAGATGTCTTGAATTATTTATATAAGTTATAATAATTCAGATTAAAGTATTACAACTTCTTTGAAAAGTATGAACAATTTTATTGAGGCTTTAATAACTCTTAAAACTAAGCAGTTCTTATTGTCCTTTTCTCCCATGGTCACCTTGTATTTGAAAGACTCAACAAACATTAGTTTTAGACACAAGTGCTATTTTTATGTGATTTTTGCCAACCATCACAAGTTCTTATAATTTCAATGTTTCATCAGTAAATTGACATCCTACTACAAAATAGATTTGCTCAGAAACTTCAAGGAAATTTTATTACTGAACTTAAAAAATGGCAGTAGGACTAGAAGTAATAAATATTTTTTAAAAATAATAAAATTCAGCTGGTTTTGTAAATATACTTTAAGTTTTAATCTTTATGGAGTGGATTGGGCCACGATTGGCAGTAACTGTTTCTGGCTCTGTTCTCATAAGTGCCCCCTGCAGGTGCTCTGTGAAACTTCTATGGTGCTAGAATCAAACTGGGGTCAGCCCCATGCAGGGTAACCTTACCTCCTCTACTAATTTCCTAACCTCAAACGTTTTGATGTGTTAATTTCTGTAAGCATGGGCTGGAGCGATAGCACAGCGGTAGGGCGTTTGCCTTGCACGCAGCCAACATGGCCGGCCCAAGTTCGATTCCTCCGCCCCTCTCGGAGAGCCCGGCAAGCTACCGAGAGTATCGCGCCCACACGGCAGAGCCTGGCAAGCTACCCATGACGTATTCGATATGCCAAACACAGTAACAAGTGTCACAATGGAGACGTTACTGGGCCCGCTCAAGCAAATCGATGAACAACGGGAGGACCGTGACTGTGATCTGTAAGCACAAAACCGTTTGTAGTAACACTATATGATCATCCCCCCGTTGTGCTTGGAAACTAGGCTTTTAGGGGGAAAGCACATTTGGGTATATTCATGCCTATGAAAGTTTGCACCTCAAGGTATTTTTATTGAAATTTCAGCCTTCTGGAAATATTTTCATGTAAAGTCAACACAAACATCCTTTTAATAAGAATATTGGTGGTATTTTATAGCAGATTTTAGGGTTTGTTATAGTGTATAGTACTTTGGTCTCTCATGATAAAGAATTTCCTATGTTCATAAAATCAATATTCTAATGAATGAAGTAACAGTAGGCATGTTTTGTTTTCTGAAGGCTTCGGAAACGATACTACAGGGCATATGAAGGAGTAGCTGAGGAACGGAAGAAACTTAGACAAGAAAATGGGAATGCAAGTATCATTGCATAAATGAAGATAACACTACAGGTTTGAATTTTAAAATATCTTCATATTCTAAACTTTTGAAAAATATAGTATCATATCAAGAAAAAATAGTAAAGTAATTACTCTTAATGTGAACACATAACATAATTCCTATATCAAAGTGGTGTTCTTTATGCATGCGATAACATTCAAAGCTCAACATCAGAAATTAACTGTAAGTTTAATATTTTAAGAAATATTAAGATGAGAAATATAAAGTATAAATTTTGTTCTTAAAGATCTTAGTGTTTGCTAGACATGAAAAATCCATAAGGAAAAATACCAGATGAAATCTAACACACATAATCATTTGGGAGCCAGTGGAAAAGGAGATCTTTCCAACAAAGGGCAGAAAGAATTCAGTAGAATGTTTTTAGAGAATAGGACTGGATGTATAGACAGTCACGTGCATAGTGGATTCTCAAAGGACTGAAGGGATCAGGGATACAAATTAATGAAGAAAATGAAGATTAATACTATGATGTTAAAGATCAATTTAGAAACTTGCCCCCAAAATGGTCTAGATCAAATGGATATAGTGGGTAACAGGTTGGAATATGTGTTGTAGTCACATAGTGATGAGTCAGAGAGAGGGTCTTGCAATACAGACATAAGGGACATAAGGAAGTAGAGGCAGCAGATAACTACTGTTTTTTTGTTTTGTTTTGTTTTGTTTTTTCTTTTTGGGTCACACCCAGCGTTGCACAGTGGTTACTCCTGGCTCTGCACTCTGGAATTACTCCTGGCAGTGCTCAGGGGACCATATGGGATGCTGGGGATCAAACCCGGGTCAGCAACATGCAAGGCAAACACCCTACCCGCTGTGCTATCACTCTAGCCACAACAACTACTGTTTTAAAGGAAGTATAGAACAGGAGAAGCAAGATGGGATGCAAATTTGAGAGCTAGCTTTGTTGGAGCATATATTTTAGTTTTTATTTTTATTTTATTTTTTGGTAAAAAGCAGAGCAGAACATGTAGGAAGTAAGTATGGAGAGAGATGTAAAGTGAAGAGTTAAAAGAAGTAAAAAGCAAATTTTCCTAAGTCAGTGTTTCAACTTTTTGGGGTTTTTCTTATTATTTTTTTTCTTGAGGCCATATCTAGCTGTGCTAAGGGTTACTCCTGGCTCTGCACTCAGGGGTCACTTCCAGAAAGAGTTCTGGGTATTGAATTTGGGTTGGTAGCCTGCAAGGCCTTACCCACTATTCAATCTCCCTGGCCACAGTTTTCATTTTTTCCTTTTTTTTTTTAAATTAGCCCTACAGGCACCTAGAGATTCACTATACTCAGTTTTGACTATGCAGGTTTTATGTTCTGAGGCATTATAGAATTAGCTCAATAATTCATGAAATGGATAATTATCCATTTCAGTGTTATGTTAAAAAATTAATACAGTGGGGTTCATGCCCAATTCAATCAGCTAATCAGTGGCTGAATAGCAGTACTCCTACATAAAAAAATTAATACAGCAAAAATCATTAATATATTGCCTTAAATCACCATAGTTCGGCCCATAATCATGAATAAGAATGGATTTTGGGGGGGGTTTCTTAAATGTAACTGGTATTTCTCGAAGTAGGTCCCATAATGATTTGGGAAAAAGGAAATTGCTGTGCTGGCACTGAGCGGCTGCCTATTAAGTGGTAGCGACTGTTATTATGTCCTCAGTACTAATTATCCTAAATTAGCTACATATCATAAATACACTGAGCGACTTAATCTTTCTTTTTAATTATGTCCACTGCACAGATTTGGTTAGGAAAGCTAGTTCTCATCACTATTGCTTTTTATATTAAGCACGTTGAACAAAACAGATTGAGCATATGCAATCTTCTAGCTAAGTAGGTATAAAAGAGGGTTCAAGTTATCTTGGAAAAACTCTGCACCTCTTAGAAAAAATGACAAAAATCTTATTTTTTTTTGTTATTCTTTGACACATAACAACCTGTTGATGGTAGTAGCTCATACTTGAATGTGGTTGAGAAAATGCATACTGTAGCGGTTATAGGCCAGCATCAATGTGTTAATGGAGCTGACCTCTGACATTTGATTTTGCTTTCTTGCAGGGTATCAGATCAGAGTCACAGCCACGTCAACACCCTGAATGATGAGTTGGTTCCTCTTTTCCAGTGGATCAAAAGAAAAAAAGAACCGCTTTTGTTCTGACAGTTTTAAACTTTTAGTTGTCACTTTTTATGCTTAAGTCTTATTCCTGTACATAAAGATGCATGGAGATGAAAAATATTTTTTCAAGTTGTAAATAATTTATTTAATATTTAATGGAAGTGTATTTATTTTACAGCTCATTAAACTTTTTTAATCAAAATATTGAGTTTGGATGTTAGTTTGGGCACTACAAGATTTTAAGGGTACTTTTAACACTATGTCATAAGTATTTTAAAATTTTTTATTTTATTTAATTTATTTTTATTGAATGACTGTGAGATACAGAACTACAAAGCTGTTCATGGTTGGGTTTCAGTTCTTACAGTGTTCCAACACCCATCCCTCCACCAATGTACATTTCCCACCACCAGTGTCCCCAGTTTCTCTCCCTCCACTCTCCCCCAGCCTGTCTCTATAGCATCTATAGCAGACAATTTCCTTCTCTCTCTCTCTCTCTCTCTCTCTCTCTCTTTCTCTCCCTCTCTCTGTCTCTCCTCTATATCTGTCTCTCACTCTCTTACTCTCACTTTCTCTCTTTCCATCTCCCTCTCTCTTTCTCCCTCCCTCCTTCCTTCCTTCTCAACATTATGGTTTGCAATGCAGATACTGAGAAGTTATCATGTTTGGTCCTTTATCTATTTTCAGCACACAGTTCTTATCCAGAGTGACCATTTCCTACTCTTTGTCCCTTCTCTATATCAAATGGCTTCTCCCCCAGCACTTGAGGCAGGCTTCCAACTGTAGACCAGTATTTCTGATCCTTATTTCTACTGTCCTTGGATACTAGTCTCATACTATGTTTGTTTGTTGGTTTTTTCAATATATTCCACAACTGAGTAAAGTAAGTAAAGTAAAGGCCCTCCTGTTGATCATCGATTTGCTCGAGCGGGCCCAGTAACGTCTCCATTGGAGACTTTGTTGTTACTGTGTTTGGCATATCAAATACGTCACGGGGAGCTTGCCAGGCTCTGCCGTGCGGGCGAGATACTCTCGGTAGCTTGCCGGGCACTCCAAGAGGGGCGGAGGAATCGAACTCAGGTCGGCCATGTTGGCTGCGTGCAAGGCAAACGCCCTACCGCTGTGCTATGCAATAATTTTATGTATGTCCCTCTCCTTCTGACTCATTTCACCTGGTATGATACTCTTCATAAACCTTGGGTTTATATGAGGAAAATAAATAGTTGAAAGCACACCAGACTTCCTAGCACTGCATAATATATGTGTTTCACTTCCCATTAGAGTAAAATTTTTAAAAATCAGTTCATAAAGACACCCTAAGTTGAGGACTTAGACTGCCCTATCCATTTTTCATGTAGATATGTTCCAAGTCTTACAAAAATTTCTGAAGTCAACAATTGGCCTGGCCTCTTTTTTTTTTCAGGAGACCTAAATCAACTATCATCATCACATAACAGAAGATACAAAAATAAGCTTAATATTTTATAGAAATGGCATTTCAAGAAACCCCAGAAGAATTTAGAGTTTAGATACTTCTTTCCCTAACATTATCATATGAATGTATAATGCATATGAACTATATAAGCTCTCTTCTACCTCTGTTAGTCCCTTCTTTAAAACAAATACTTGCATATTTCAGGTGGATGTTCTTTAAAAAAGACTAACTTACGAACTGGCCCTTGACAGGTCAACTAAGTTAACTGAATGTAAAACAAAATAAAGCAAGGTTTAAAATATGTGGAGAGTATTTTTTAGGAAGTTAGCCAATAAACATAATTTCAGCACATATTCACAGCCTGTCAATTTGTCTCTAACTTAGCACTCAATCTTTTGCCCAGGTTTTTGAAAAACTTCGATGTTTAAGAAATATTCTAAGTCCTTTACACATAGGGCTTTTGTCAAATTCTTATTATATTTTTTGAAGATAGGCACATGTTAGAGCTAACAAGTTCAGAGTGATTACTTGTTCAAAGTCTCAGAGCTGATCAATGAGAGTCAAACTCCCTTCTCTACTACTTCTATAACCAAGGTGTTAACTTGAACAATGTTATATAATGACAATTGAATATTAAAATTATTATTAAGATTTAAATAGTTAATTTAAATTTTTAAGAAAGATAAAAATGGCAATAATTGCCTACCCCTTGCTCCCTAAAAATACATTTGTAATTAATGGTAGGGACAGATTTAAGCAAATTCTTCTAATGAATAAAATTTTTAAAAAATATACTTCTTTTTATGCTAAAACTAGGGAGCCATATTAATGTCATGGACAAATTTGATAGTTGACAGGAAGGGAGGAGGACTTTACAATGTTGGAACCTAAAAAGAGATTATAGGAATGACTAAATGTCAACAAGAAAATACAGGACCTTTCACTTAAAAGGGTGAGAGGATATGAGCAAGGAATTCCCAGAATTTGAAACCAAAGTGATTAATAAGTATCTGATGCAAACTTGTGCTGAGCCGTGTATTTACTGAGAATTAGCAGAGGTCTGCCCTTCCTTCCTCAGTTCCAAGCCACAGCACGCAGAGAAGGGACAGGATTTCAACTCCCCAGCACCCATCCAAATCATAATCCTGCATGCAATAAAAGGTACACCATCTTATTGAAGTGACAGGAATTACTAGTCAAACCAACAGGATATAAGCCTATGCCCATGTGATTTGTAGAAATGGAAAGAGAAGCAATGGTGAAAGAAATTGGTGGACAGAAAGTTAAAGAGATCCCAAAGTCAATTTCCATTGCAGGGTAAAGAAGTTTGCATACATTGATGAATGTCGGTAACTATATCTGGACGCCAGCTGGTGTCTTAAGAAATTAAACTGAATTCAGCCTGATTCTGACATGATCTGCCCGGAGAGAATGACAAATTCCACAGGAAAGGGATTCAGAATTTCAAAATTTCTCTCTACTTTAGATCTAGTCATAGACCAGACTTTCGTGAGTGTTATAAATCAGAATTTCCACTATTCCATTATTAAATTCAATGAACTAGTGAGGGTGTCTCTCAGAATTCAGAAAAAGAAGCATTTTTACTTCTTAGATTCACAATCACAAATCATCCTGTTAATCGTTGATTGCCTTGAGCAGGCCCAGTAATGTCTCCTTCATCCTAGCCCTGAGATTATATTCAAGGCTCTTTAGGAGAATGAGACCCATCATTGTTACTGGTATTTGGCATATTTGGTACGCCACAGGGAGTTTGCCAGACTCTGCCCTGTGGGCAGGCTACATTTGATAGCCTGCAAGTTTGTCCAAAGTAGGAATGAGATAATAAGATGTCATAATAGGGCTGGAGCGATAGCACAGCGGGTAGGGCGTTCGCCTTACAAGCAGCCAACATGGCCGACCTGAGTTCGATTCCTCCACCCCTCTCGGAGAGCCCGGCAAGCTACCGAGAGTATTCGATATGCCAGACACAGTAACAACAAAGTCTCCAATGGAGACGTTACTGGGCCCGCTCGAGCAAATCGACGATCAACGGGAGGGCCTTTACCTTTACCTTTTAATAGGATGTCGCACGGCCGCAAATGCGACCGCGCGGTTCCGGGAGCTGGTTTTTATAGTCTCTGAGTCTTGGCCGTTGATGGGATTACAGGCACCAGGGGGCCAGTTGGTGGGTGTGACCCCCGCCTACTGGAATTTGGAGGATCTGGGTGGAGGATGCTCAGCCCAAATCCGAGTAGGCTTGGAGATCTCGGCCCCGGAACCAGCGTGACTTTGTCCCTCTGCCAGTACCTTCATGTGTGCGGAGAGTGGTCTCAGCATGGTGGTGGCTGGTCCTGGAGGCCTTTGGCTGCCAGAACCCTGGTCGGGGCGGGGAGGAAAGCTCAACCCGCTCCCCTCCAAGGGGCTCTGGCGGCGAGGACAGTCTTCTTAGATTATTAGCTTACTATATAAAGATTGAGGAACAGCTAGATATAGAGACACAAAGTTTGAGTAGAGTATGGAGCTTCCAAGCCATCTCCAAGGGAAAAACTCCCTAAAGAAAATTATGAGTGTTTCCCTCAATGAAAACTTTCTATGGAAAACAGTCAAGATAGTCTTGAAAATTCCTGAGTCCCAGAGAGTCCAAACAGCACTCACAAAAGCTTTATCACACTCAGAGTCCTGACACCAAAAATCTAAGAATTTTATTGATGCCAAACCCATAGGCAAAGACCATGTACTAGAAAAACATTCTTTACCAGGCCAAGAAAAACAAATCTTGGGTTCCTAAGGCCAGTAGCAGTGCTAGAAGTGAAATCACATGAGAAGGTAAGAATCCAGGTAAGAATCCCGGAGTAGGGGAGAGAAAGAGCAAGACTGTTGGTGTGAAGAAACTAAAGAAACCTCTGGTTCGGGGGGAAAAAAAAGATTGGAGTTGCTATGAGAACAGCAGCTATATGGATACCCGAGGAAAATAAAAACCAAAGCAAAAAGAAAAAAGAGAAAAAACCTCCATAGAAGAAAAGGATGCTGCTGCTATATTTAAATTACTTATCTATAAATGGCAACTCATTTTGTGAATTTATTTAGTTTTGGTGTGGGGCCATCCACGGCAGGTGCTCAGGGCCTACTCTGGCTCAATTCTGATGAAGGGGATGCAGTGTTTGGGATTGAACCTGAGTCTCTTGCACACAAAGCAGGAGCTCCGGCCTACTGGTTTTTCTTGTCCTTTCAAGGGCAACTCATTCTGGACAGCTAATTTTGCATAAAGACCAGAAGATCTGCTTAAAGAGACAGTGAGAGACTGGAAGGGAAAACAAAAAGTTTTCCTGCTAAAAACCTGCTAAAATTGTCTGGGTGAGAGAACAAAATGTGAGGGATTTTTCTTATTGGACAAATTCCAAAGCCTTAGCAATTAACTCTGCATGCTTATCAAGTACTTAATACGTTTTAAGGACTGTACATGTATACATTTGCTTATTCCTTAAAGCACTATTAAACATTAACTGCCAACGTAGATGAGAATTATAAAGCAAAGAGACTTAGTAACACACTCACAGCCATGTGAATGATGGAACCAAGAGGAGAAAT